CTGGCGAGTCATTGAAGTACTGCTGCAATGCACGCCCAATGACGGCACGCCCAATGAGGGCACGAGATACATTTGTGCGTGCCCGAGATGGAAGGCTGACAGACAGGGCGGCAATCCAATCCGTTTGGCTAAACGGATTGGTTGTACTTTTTACAGTACTACGGCTTCCACAGATGACGTTTTTTTATGGATTTTTTGTCAAAGCACTTCAGATATTCATTGCTATCGGGATGTTAAGAGCATTCCATGGAATATAACAAAAAGTGTATCTCGAGCCGGTTTCTGAAACTTACCTACCCCACCTTTAAGTTATGTTGAAACAAAGAAATACTTACTGGAATTTCAGTGTGTTTGAGTACAGATGCAGGGCTGCCCGGTTGCTGCAGTGAGAGGAAAAAAAGATTGGTAAAAACCTTGAAAACCATAGCGCTGAGCTGACAGTCATTTTCTGAGCACATTTTTTTAAACAGGGAACCACACAATAATGTATCCAAAAAAGTGAAACCAGGTCCACAGCAACTCAACAGTGCCATTGTGTGTTGCATTGTCGACAGGAGCCTGTGAATTAAGATTGTCATTACCAGAACTACACTGTAGTTATTGTGCATATGACAATAAGTCCTTTCAATCTACCTCTTGCGGACATGAAGAGAGACATATTTAGCATTGAAGTTTTCTATCATGGCCCGACTGGCCTGGTCCATCAGCTTCTGGGCCAGGCCTAGACGTCTGTGGGAACGCTTCACAGCCTGGAAGACAAAGATATGGGTTTGATTGGTCCAAGAGAAGCAAGCCCATTTCTGAATACTATAAAACATGTAATATAAATAATGGAGGACATTTAAGAGGTGTCTTTCTTCAAACTCACCAGAGATGTAATGTGTCCATGGGGGACATCATCAGGGTCCTCCTCCCTGTTAAGACTTCACATTAGTTTATTATGGAAAACATACATGTAATTTGTGAAAATGTTGTGAACATTTAAATATGGTAACATATACTCACATCTTTGCCAGCACATATCCCACAATTTTGCCATTTTCATCCTCTGCGATGTATGAGAGCTGAAACATTTAAAAGACAGTGTCAAACATATACTAAGGATTTTGAGCAGCGTTTGTGTAGCACTGGTGTTAGCAGGAACATGATAAATGGGAAACGGCAGTCAATCACCTGCGGCCAGGACAATCCATGATAGAAATAATATTTCATCTGGTAGTTTTCTGGGAGACACAGCAAGTTACAGTGCTGCATATTCATAAGGTCCTCCGGCTGAAAGAAAGAAACTGGATGTCACAAAGATGCATGACACAATGCTAACGCTTTAACCGGCCATACTTGTGCTCTTTTAACATTTAGCTTAGCTTAGCAGTGAACTCAGTAGAAACAGCATGGCTGTCGAGAGGCTTTCAGCACACTTACCCTTGCGTTTCGTATGTTCATCTTGTTAGTTGGCTTGTAATCTGGACTGGAGACAGAAATAAAATATACTACACGGATCAATTAATTCATAATAATAATACTACAAAGTTGTAAAGGGCTTGTCTCGCTAACTAGCTAAATCGACGAGCTAGCATGCAAGGAAAGGGAGGAAGGAGCGTGCCACAATAACGACAGTCACTTCCGGTCACAGTGTCCGCTGGGACTTCACAATAAAAGTTCGAACACTAGCGTGATGCACGAAAATAGGCTATACATCGTTTTTATTTTGAAGGATGATTTAATATGTATAGTTACCCGGATGTGGATTGTAGCCGCACTCTTTATAACCTAGGGCCGACGTTTAGGCCATAGGTTTAGGCTGGATTATCACTAGGCTAAACGTTTCACTGCTCTGGGGCCCCGGACCCCCTGTTTCTATATGTGACAATAATTAATAGTTTCAACCTTCAACCACGACGGTACAATATCAACAAAATGTATACATGTCTTGGGTTTCTAGTCAGTCGAAAAAAAGTTAAAAACTAAAAACAGCTCCTTGGATATTCACACAATTACATGTTTTGTTTGGTCTATGTCGGACTGGGTGGGACTTTCGGAAACAGTTCTAAATTGGTTTGAATCCTACTTAAAGGACAGAAACAACTTTGTTTCTATAGGTAAATACACATCTGAGTTGCCAAATATGACATGTGGGGTACCTCAAGGCTCCATCTTGGGGCCTCTTCTCTTTAACATCTACATATACTACTGGCTCAGATAATGAAAAACAAAAAAAATAAGTTACCATAGCTATGCGGATGACACACAAATTTACATAACAATTTCACCAGGAGACTATGCTCCAATTCAAACACTGAGTAAGTGCATTGAACAAATCAATGACTGAGGTAATGGTTTTTGGAGCCAAGGCAGAACGTATAAAAGTTAGCGCTGAGCTTCAGTCTGCAATGTTCAAAACAACGGATAAAGCCAGAAATCTAGGTCATGGACTCTGACCTGAGTTTCAACAGTCACATTAAAACAGTTACTAAATCAGCCTACTATCACCTAAAGAATATATCTAGGATTAAAAGACTAATGTCACAGCAGGATTTGGAAAAACTTGTCCATGCTTTTATCTTCAGTAGACTGGACTACTGCAATGGTGTCTTTACAGGTCTCACTAAAAAATCTATTAGAAAGCTGCAGCTAATTCAGAACGCTGCTGCTCGAGTCCTCACTAACACTAAGAAAGTGGTTCACATCACTTCTGTTCTGAAGTCTTTACACTGGCTTCCTGTGTGTCAGAGAATAGATTTCAAAATACTGCTGCTGGTTTATAAAGCTTTGAATGGTTTAGGCCCAAAATACATTTCTGACCTCCTGCTAAATTATGAACCATCCAGATCTCTCAGGTCTTCATTACATTACATTACATTGCATTTAGCTGACGCTTTTATCCAAAGCGACTTACAATAAGTGCGTTCGACCAACAAAATACAACTTGAAGAAAACAGAATCATATAAGTACATCAGGCTTCATAGAGCAAAAACATTTCAAGTGCTACTCAACTGGCTTTAGATAAGCCAGTCCTTTATTAGTATAAAAGTGCTTCGTTAATAGTTCTATCGCTCGAAGTGGAGTCGAAAGAGATGAGTTTTCAGTTTGCGCCAGAAGATGTGCAAGCTATCTGCTGTCCTGATGTCAATGGGGAGCTCATTACACCATCCTGGAGCCAGGACAGCAAACCCACGTGTTTTCGCCGATGGGAACTTGGGTCCCCCTCGCAGCGAGGGTGCAGCGAGTCGTTTGGCTGATGCAGAGCGTAGTGCAAGCGCTGGGGTGTATGGTTTAACCATGTCCTGGATGTACGAAGGGCCAGATCCATTCGCAGCATGGTAAGCAAGTACCAGTGTCTTGAAGTGGATTCTAGCAGTTACCGGAAGCCAGTGAAGGGAGCGGAGGAGCGGAGTAGTGTGGGAAAATGTAGGAAGGTTGAAGACCAGACGAGCCGCTGCATTCTGGATGAGCTGCAGAGGTCGGATGGCACATGCAGGTAGACCAGCCAGGAGGGAGTTGCAGTAGTCTAGGCGTGAGATGACGAGAGCTTCTTCAGGGACTGGTCAGCTTTCTGTCCCCAGAGTCAGAACTAAACATGGAAAAGCAGCGTTCAGTTATTATGCTCCAAATATCTGGAACAAACTCCCAGAAACCTGCAGGTCCGCTGCAACTCTGACTACTTTTAAATCCAGGCTGAAGACTTTTCTTTTCGCCGCTGCTTTTAATTGAACTATTTACATCTTAAACTGCACTGTAACTTTTATCCATGTATTTTTTCTTTTAATGTTTATTTTATTATCTTTTCTTTTTAATGACTGATTTTAAATGCCATTTGCTTAATGTCATTCGTTTTTTGTAAAGCACTTTGAATTGCCTTGTGTTGAAAGGTGCTATATAAATAAACTTGCCTTGCCTTGCCTTGCCTATGCTGACCATTACATTATATGACATGTTGTCATTAACCCATACTTCCTTTTCTATAAGAAGTTTCACAACAACCAAAGTCAAGTGTTGAAGCATTCATTTTGTCACTGAATTCGGACTCGTTCAGGTCTAAACAATACACTGTTGCCTCTGTTGTTGCAGAGGCTTTTGGGAACAGCATAGTTTCTTTAGTTGAAATGTCCAAAGCTCTGACAATATTTCAAATGCTGAGGATCAGGTTTTGGTGGTGTCTCTGTGAGTGCCTATTTAAATGTATTTCCCAGGATGCCCCCTAGTGAGTTAATCTGGCCATGGTTGGAACTCAAAACTAGAAATGTAAACTACTGTCCCGTGTATGCAAATGTATGTTTACCTTTAACCTATGCTACCATAAATCTATTTCTGAATGTAATAGTTTAAATTAATGTCATATACACAAAGTTACCAACAAAATGTTGATTTATCAGGAAGTTTACAAGGAAGAGTTTAAAACAACACCCTCAAACAACACTAAACACAGTGTAGCCTAATGTTATTCAAGATGCTACACTCCATATTCAAAAATATTTTTTTCGTGTATACAAAAACTGCCAGTTACCAGCAGCATTTTCAAGACACCGTTTTTCCATGTGCTTTAAAAGTCAGTCCCTTTGGTTTTCAAGTCATTACTTTGAATTCATAACTACATCTTTGAATTCTTAGAAAGCTCATCAGATTCCACATTGAGTTGTATTTTTGCTCCCATTCCCACATTACAGAAAATAATACAATATTGGAAGAATATTTCTGTCCCTAGGCAATGTAATATGCTAAATAGAAACACTCTCAATTAAATATTTGACACTTCTTTCTGGGTTACTGTGCACCTTTAAACGAGAAGCTTAGTATCATTTCCCATAGTGAAACACATACAGGAAATATTTACATGAAACTATTTGAGCAAAGAACTGGAAAACACAAAGAGTACACTGGAGTATCTGGCTTTAAGCTAATACTTTAGTACAGTTGCTGCTTTGCATCCAATCACAGTGCAACATGCAAATCGAGCAGGTGTCACCAGGGAGGGACTGAAGAGGAAACGAATATTTCGAGAATAACAGCAGTGTGCCTGGCAGGTGTCGACAACATTGAGCAGGCACAATGGACTAATGTATCTTGGAAGAAGGAACTTCAGAATAATCAGTAAATTAATGGCGAGATCAGATTGCCAACCTGCCTGTATTTCTCAGTGATGACAAAGTTATGGGTGTTGAATGTGATCACAAGAGTGGTTTGATAAACCGGAAAGTGCGACGCTGTGACTGAGAAGCGCTTCTCCAGATGGAGACGGATCTGCAGCTGGAGTCTACTGTGTGGGTCGGGAGTAAAATATACCGGGCAGTCCTGACAGGCTGGCAATTCAACTGGACCGAGCTAGACAAGAAGAATCGCGACAAGAAAACAAGTAGGTGGCTTTCTTTACTCCATCTCTCCAAATGTCCTCCCTATAAACACGTGCTTTTATTTATGTTTAAATGTCATTTCTGAGCAGAGGTGGCATAACAGGGTGATGGCAAACAAACCTTTGGAAGTAGGGAGGACACTTGGAGACACCATGAACAAAACACCTTACGTGTTATTTTGGACAATTACAGGGAGGGTTTAATTAAGCCCATAGCTCTGCAACACGTGAAGAACAAGTTGAACAGCACTAACACGAAACACAACCTGCTGACAACACTGGCTAATGAGGACAAACACACCTCCTGGCATGTTGTCTTAGCACCAAAATGCTTCCGCCCACACACACGCAAGACCGGGGGAATATCTTGCACTTAAAACAAGACACTTGTGTCACTTTTTTACAGTGCAATCATCTGCAATGCCTTGTTTTAGATATGTTTTACAAATCAAAAGCACCTAAAAGGATGCAATGATGTTTACACTTGTTACCTTGTAGAGATATCATCCTCATCTCATATTTTTTAAGTAAATAGCTGAAGTATGAAATATAAGGTACAAAACCGTTGTTAATAGACCTTCATTTAGGCAGATATTTGTTATTAATAGGTGGGATTATTAATTCTGATGTGTGCCAGTGATTCATAGAACTTTGAAAATGAAGTGGAATTCAGTCATCATTAATATTTTAGTTATATCTCTGCATTTCCTTGACCTTGAGTGTGTTAGGATGCAGCCACTGTTATGTTACACCTTTGCTTTGGCCCCCTATTGTCACATGTAAACGTATCTGCTCTAAAGAAGGTCTAAAGGACTTTCCAGTAAATGTTCTATTCATTATATGCAAAGAAGCCTGTCTGCTGAAGTCTGTGCTGTGTGATTAAAGTTTCAGTGCCTGTGGCTGAGGTGGTTGGAGTGGAGGAGGGTCGGGTGGAGATCCTGCCCCAGAAGTCAATCGAGGACACAGACAAAGTCTTTACAGGTGGGTTCAACTTCTCATGCAACACTCTCAGATATCCCAAAGAAACCAAGGCCACAGTCAAGGCTTAAGTAAATAACAACCATATTTTACACAGCCATGGAGTTTAAAAATGTATTCAAATATGTGCCTGTGTCTCCCACATGGCGATATCATGGTTTTACAGCATTTTCAACATTTATCTACAGTTTTCTACGTGAAGCGCAGCAGCACTGGGAGCTCTTATGGGTTACTATGGACACTGGGCCGAACCCAGTTCAGCGTCCCCAGTCGGGTGCTCAGAGACCAGTGGACCAAACACCTTAGAGCTGCTCTCAAAACTCACAGTATGGATGGATATTCAAAAAGTCATATTCCAATCCTCCAGAGTATTTTGTGGCTCTCAATAACATATTTGCAAATGTATTGTTCAGGTCCAGTGAGGCCTAACAGGCTGTTAGTGTTTATCAACCCATATGGCGGGAAGAAGAAAGGAAGAAAGATCTACCACTCTCTGGTTGCCCCTCTGTTTGAGCTTGCTGGCATCAGCTGTCATGTTATTGGTAAGAAACAACAAAGAGGTGTTGCATAGATAGATTATGTATTCATTAGTAATCAGTAACTAATGCATTACTGTTTTTTGAATATTACAATGGCAAACTTTGTCTGTATTCTTTTTAAACAAAACTCATATTTTAATGTCTTTTATTTAGAGTAATGTTAAAGCAAGGCCTGTCTTGATTACTAGTTTTATTGGACAATATATTGTCCCAAAAGTAATCAAACATATTATTGTTATTTTAAAACCTTTTAATGATTCTGAAAAAATTAATATATATATATATATATATATATTTGGGTGGTCCGTACAATTGAAAGTCGGAAAGTCTAAGTTCCAACCCCCAGAATTCATTTTATTAGTCAAGAAAACTATCCTGGTGAATTTTTTTCTCAATCTGACAACATTTACCCCTCCCTCATCGACCTTGAAGTTTAGCCTCAGTTGCAGGCCGTGGCTGCTGGTGTTGCAGCCCAGGTCGATGAGGGAGGGGTACATGTTGTTGGAATTTGAATACAATTCACCAGGAGAGTTTTCTTGACATCATAACAAATTCCGGTGTTTGGAGCTTAAAATAAATGAATTCGAAAATGTACATGGCACTAAGGACCACCCTAATATATATATATATATAAAAAAAAAGAAATATAAAAAAGGTGCTAATAATAATAATGATATCTGTCTATATGTGTAATCCTAACATTTATTTTGCAGTGACAGAGCGGGCAAACCAGGCCAGAGACCATCTCCTGAAGAAAGACCTGACAGGCTTTGATGGGTAAGAGTTATAACAGTTTCAGAGCAAACACTGTGACATTATAACCAGTATTACAGCTAAGCTCTCTTGGAGGTGCTTCACAACAGAAACTCTTGTGTTTGTTTACAACAGTGTGGTGTGTGTGGGTGGGGATGGCATGTTCAGCGAAATACTCCACGGTTTGATTGGGCGGACACAACAAGAGGCAGGCCTTTGTGAGAATGATCTCACTGTCACTTTACAGCCCTGTCAGCGGCATATTGGCATCATCCCTGCAGGTAATGACACTGATATTAAATGCCGTTAAATCAGATCACACGTTTACTATTTTGTTGTTTGTTTCAGGATAAAACAAAAGTTTGCTTCCATCTTTTAGTTATACTGTTCCTCAGAGATCAGAAGTTGCACGCCACCATGATCTTGAAGGATAGAATAATATATAGTATCATAGTATCCAATGATCTTAAGAAAAAAGAGAGCATGTTGTGTTATCATAAAAGAAAGGTTGTTGTAGGCTTCCTTAATTATAGCAGTAACACATTCATCTTCTACAATAAAAAAACAAAACACAAAGCACTTGTTGAGTTAATTTAGGCCTTGTAACTAATTCACCAGCACTTACTATGGTATGATCTAGTTTGAAGTGAATATATCAGCACTTTCCTTGTTGTTCGGAGTTTGATTCTTTATGGTTTTTGCGCTTATTGTAAGTCTGAAGCTGAATGATTTGTAATATGTAATGTACATTTGTCACTACTGTAGGCTCTACAGACTGTGTGTGTTATGCCACAGTGGGAGTGATTGACCCTGTTACTTCAGCTCTGCACATCATCATTGGTGAGGAAGGATTTTCAATAAAATCTCAAATACTCTCAAAGTACATACATACATCTTAAAATACTTGAACAATTGTGTCAACTCTGAGCTCCAAAGTAAAGCCTGTATGCCGCTTTCTTTTCCCCACAATACCTTGCAGGAGACTCTCAGCCTTTGGATGTGTGTTCGGTCCACCAGGCGTCAGGTCTGGTGCGTTACTCTGTCTCTCTGTTGGGCTATGGCTTCTATGGGGACGTACTGGCTGAGAGTGAAAAACACCGCTGGATGGGACCTCTGCGATATGACTATTCAGGTGTGGACTGATGATTCATTTACAAAAATGACAGCATGCTTATTTTGCACAAGACGCTGTTTGATTCTCTGTGTCTATTTCAGCTTTCAGCTTGACGTTAAATGTATTCTGTAATTCTTACTCACATGACTAATATGGAAGGAACTCATATAACACACAAACCACATTCCCCACATATCTGGTCTTTTAAAAGTGTTGTTGACACATGTCCTGTTGTGCATTTCCTCCTAACCGTATTCTTCTCTTTATCAAGGCACAATGGTGTACCTGAGCAACAGAAGCTATGCAGGCATAGTTCAGTATCTGCCAGCAGACCCGCTGCTCTCCAGCCCCAGAGACAGAACACGCTGCCTCTCAGGGTAAAACACCAACTGCTAAAAAGAAATGACACAAAGAAAGAGTACACAGAGTGCAATTAGTAATGAACACAAAACAGACTCTAAAAATTAAAATCATGACATGCATATCAAATGATACTCTATGTCTGCAATGAGAAGGTGTTAAAACAGCTTGGGATTATTTTCTTTACTTATCTATTCATTATGGATCCCTGTTTATTAATTGAGTTTCAAGTATTATGTGATTGTGAAACAAGCGACTCCAAACAACACCACCACAGTATTGTTCTTATGTCGCAGTTATTTAACTTTTATTATTTCAACTTTGAATTGACTCTTACTGGATCACAAGTGCAATGACCATGAAAAGACGAGTGTAAGGGGTCGTTTTGGAAGAAGCCAATAATAACATGAACTGCTGAAAGCTTGTTTTTCTTTTTGGATACCTAATCTTACTCCTAGGAAATACATTTGTTTAAAAATAATGAGGTTTTCTATTAAAAGTTTAAAAGTGAGACAATTCATTTGTGAAGCTGACCGTTGAGCGGCCCAGACCAAGCAAGGAGGCAGAGGCAGAACGTCCAAAAATATAACCCGACGTGGGCATTTATTAAAATCATGTGCACAAAGTTCACAGCCTCAATCCTGCTGTTCTCCTTGCACACATCCTGCAGCCACAAGGATCTCACACACCCTACCAGCCTCCAAAACAGACAGGGCAACAGACCCTAAATACACCCACTCTAATCAGCACAACAAGACACAGGTGAGGGGGGAGGAGACAACACAGGACACCAGGTGCACACAATCATCAGCCACAGACATCAACATATTATTTGCACCCCGATTACTCTCAACCGCTGTCATCCTTACACCAGCATAACTACTCTCGGCGCTCTCGCAAACTCCCCTATCTTTTCAGGCGGAGCCGAGGACCCGACCAGCACCTGCCAGACGACATTCCAATAAATACGGTTTAATCAGTTAAAAGATACTAGCTCAATAATTAGTATGAATTATGTGCAAATATGTAATGTCAACTGTACTGTGCAATCACGCTAATAAAGTGCAATATTACCCGGCCTGAAGCCGTCAGTCCATAGTGACGAAGTTACCTTCGTCACATCATTGAAAAGGAAGTTGTTGTGAGTAAAGTGAGTAAACCTTACACCTGTGCAATGAGGAGAGAAAGTGTCCCTGAGAGTAGCATCATTATTAATAAAGCACCAGTCAACAGGTTCAAATTCACTGCTTGAGACACTGTAACTGCTACCAGCCGCAGCAGGGACATGGTGTTGGGTGCACCTTGAGGAGGGAAGAGACCAAGCAGGAGCAACTTGATCTATGAAAGATGAGACTCCTGTTAGAGAGCACCCTGTCTCGTCTTTGTCTGAGGCTGCGGCCTCTGGCTGTCAGCAAGTGCTTTATAAGGCTGTTATGAATGGGTGTCAATGGTGAGGAGCTTGTTCCAATTATTTGTGTTGCTGTTGTGTTTAGGTGCAGTGTGTGTTCCAGAAGCACAGAAAGACTTTTTCCCCACTCTTCAGACGCTGGCTCCTTATACAGCTCCCACTACAGCCAGTTCAGTAGTGACTTAGAAGGTAAACGCACGCACGCACGCACGCACGCACGCACGCACACACACTATTTGTTATAATAACAATATCATGTCTCCCTTTATGTGTCTCTCTAGGTGAGTGGGTGACTGTGGAGGGCAGGTTCAGGTGTGTGTCTCTCACTTGCATGTCCAGCTCGTGTCCCAAGAGTCCTCTGGGCCTCTCTCCCTCGGCTCACCTGGCGGACGGCACCGGGGACCTCATCCTGGTGTGGGACACTCACCCTCTGGGATTCCTCAAGTTTCTCTACAGGCACACAAGCACAGAGGATCAGGTAATGGCAAATTCCCATTGACTTATAGTTGGACTAGTACGTTTAAACACTACTTGACTCCGATCTCTGCCCCTTCTCTTAGTTTGACCTGCCGTTTGTGGAGGTCCACCGTGTGAAAGCCGTCCGTTTCTCTCTCCCCCCCGGCAAAGAGGAGGAAGAGATTGGAGAGTCGAGTGGTGGGATGGATGAAGAGGAGAGAGGCTATATTGAGACTGTTAGTAGGTCTGGATCTCAGCAGCATCTGACAGACAGAGGCCCGGGTAGAGAAATGACCAACCTGCAGAAAACAGGAAACCCCTTCCTGTGCTGCAGCAAAGCTCCTGCTGTGTCCGTGTGGAACTGTGACGGAGAGATACTGCCTTCCACCGAGATCCTCAGCAGGTAAGAGTTCAACTAGGTTTTTGTTGTTGTTGCAAAATGTACTGTATTATCCTCTTACAGTATCATATTGTTACTCATCTTAGTCATCAGAGGTGGGAAGTAGTGGAGTACAAATATAGGCCTACTTAAGTAAATGTTTCTGGTATCAGTAGGCTACTTTACTCCACTACTTATTTTTGACGACTTTGTACTTTTACTTCTAACATTTTTAACACAAATACCTGTACTTTTACTTCTTACATTTTCAAAGCAGGTTAGTTACTTTAGTTTTAATCTGTGTTTGGTGGCGGGATCATTATTATTTAGAGTCATTGCGTGCCTATTGATTTTAACACGATCCATGTATTCATCATTTCCTGGTCTTCTCTAAACAAGGGCGACCAATGAGAACGTTGTCATTTTGCCGTTGTTCAGCATCGAAACATTCATTAGCTAACAATGACATTATTGTTCTATTAATATAAAGGTAGGTCAGTTACTCTTTAAAACAGATGGTAGTTACGGGTACTTTTAACTTAAGTACATTTCGAAGCCCATACTTCTTTACTTTACTTGAGTAAAGAAGTTTAGTCAGTACTTCTACTTTTACCAGTCTTTTTAAACACGAGTATCTGTACTTCTACTTGAGTAAAGGATGTGTTTACTTTTGCCATCTCTGTTAGTCATCAATACCAACAGAAAACCAAATAGCTCACTGAATATTAAGGATGATTGTTTCTGAGCAGTACAGTTTTTTTACCGTGTTCATTTCTCTTAGGGTTCATGGCCAGCTGGTGCGTCTGTATGCGAGAGGCATCGAGGACGGAGCCGCCGTGCACTGCAGCGAAGATATTGAAAGGGGATGCACACTTCAAATATAACCTCACTTGCATTTGGGAAGATGACAATGGGAATGTTTTTAAAGCTAAGCTATTTTGTGAACTGAGACAGCCTTCAGTCTGTCATGGTCAAAGAGTTCCTAATATTTCAGCTTACCTCACATGTTTTCTCTTCGCAAAAATAAAAAAGAACTATTTATTCTTTTATGAGTGTTTGTTAGTTGAATACTAAAAATGAAAGCACTATTTAAAGACATGATACAAATATCTGAGTTCACGTTCCCATGGCATGTACAGTGTTGTTGTACTAGCCGGCAAATATTATTTATTTTACGAGCTTCCATAGAATAAAAACACAATTATAAAGAATGACCCGATTCCTTTTTATGCTTTATTTTTCTCAACAGACATTGTTCAGTGAAAATCAAACAACACGTGAAAGAACAAATAAAGCAGTCCCAGATGAGAAGTTGTAAAAAAACATGTTTGCTTCACTTCCCACGGTCCTCTGATAGGATCACACACGTTCCGCTATTGGTCAGTGTGTTTGTAGCCAGATAGGCCATGAACTTACGTAGTAGAGACACACATAGGTGACAGGAAACAGCTTCAGTATGTTGCAGGGGGTCAAACAAATCTAACAGCTATTTAAAGTAAATGGAAGTGGTGATGTTAAAACGTATTCATACATTGTGACAGATTAACTGATACGATTGTTAGTAAAGTGTATTTTAGATTGTTATCTTATCCTAAAATACCTACCTGAAGGTTATTCTTACCTGTAGCAGAACATTTAAAATTGTTTCCTTTAAGCGTCACCTGTTCTTCCTAGTACAAATATTGTGACATTCATTGGCATCATGTTGTAGTGATGACTGTAAACACAGGCGTGCTGATAGCAGAGAACAGGTTTATCTTAAACATTCAAATGAACCTACGAGTCAATATTGATCCCATACTGCATCCATAAAATAAAGGTCAACAATCATGTAAGTACAACTCTCATATCTCAGGAACATTGTGTAGGATTTAGTTGGATGTTAGATAATCTAATCTACGGTGGCCTCCAGATGACCTTATACTGTAAATGCCAAAGGCCCTCGTTAGAACCAGTTTTTGGTTTGTTCTGGGCTACTGTAGAAACACGACGGTGCAACATGACCCAGTGAAGAGAACCTGCTCCCTATGTACATATAAAGGCTAAGCTCACAAAAACATGATGATCACTAGTTTCAGTGATTAGGCACCAAAGAAAACATAAATTATAAACCCCTATGAATCCTACACACCTATGACCTCGGTGTTAGGTGATCAGTAGGCCTACTGTTAAAAGAAAAGAAAAAGAGCAGGTGTGGTCAATATAATTTATTTCATAGACATTTTTGATTTACAGGTGAACACTCAAATCAGACTCATACAGTTATTGCTATTTCCACTTTCATTTTGAGTGATTAAGGATAAAAAGCAGTGGCATTTTTAAACATGCAGACAAAATCAACACACAGCAATGAGAGAAGGCAGTGAACTTTATTGTTTGTAAATGTGTGGTTGTTCATGAATATGTGTGTGCGTGTGTGACAGAAGGCATCATGCTGTGTGGGGCTGCACCCACTTGTATTTTCCCTCATAGCGGAATCCCACCCTCTTCACCAGGTCATCTGCCTCGCCCGGACCACGACTGCCAACAAAGAAACAACAGGGGGAAGAGAAATGATAACTAAAATGGAAAATGCACTGTTCATTTATTTCTGTCTCATGAGATAGACATATTATGTTACCTTCCATATGTGTAAGGGATGGGTGGCTTCTTCTCTTCCTCTATTTGGTGGAGGAGGGGGGTGAAGATCCTCCAGGCCTCCCGCAACTCATCACTGGGACAGAAAGCAGAGCAGTTAAAAAAAAAAAAGACCACATTAAATAAAATAAATAGACAATAAACTATGACAGTTAATAGTTAAACCGACCTGCGGACAAAGTGCATCTGATTTCCACAGAAGACGTCCAGTATCAGCCTCTCGTAAGCATCCGGGAGCTTCACGTTCTGGAAGAAGATGGCAGCCATTTAAAAACTGTGAATACTTGCTTATTTCAGGTTCAGTGATGTTTCTTAATACAAATTAGTAAGGAGACTTAAACTATATTGCAATTCACCAAGTATGAGATATGGTGGAATCGGTTGAAATCTTTTAGGCAGAAAATAGAATTCAACTTTAGATTTTTAACAAACTTTTTTAAGGTTACTAAGTGACGTTTCCTTTACTTTTTATTTATTTGCAAACCATCTACAGCAGGGGTTCTCAAAGTTTTGATGAGTGAGGGCCAATTTAGGTACCCAATATTGGATTGAGGGCCGCCCAAGAAAAAACGGAACACAAAATAATTCCAAAACAAATCCGTTCTTTATTGTACTAACTAATTACCGCAACTCGTGAGATGCCTAGTTGCCATGCAACCAGTATTGTAGCAAAATTTCCACAAGCTGTCATTCATAATTTAGGAATGACAACCCAGGGGGCGCAGTTTTACCATTCGTAACACTCTGGAGTCTAAGGGTATTTTCTCGATTTTTAGATGTTTTCTTAAATCACCTTTTAAAATGTATTTCTTCTAACATGGCACCTCATGTGTTAAATATCAAAATGTTCAGGACAATCTCTGGTCTTGCTATATATGCAAATTACTCACCTTAGAGCACTGTTTGATGAGATAAGTAGCTCAAAAGCTTAAAATGTGAAATCCGATTTTTGGAAAATCTTCAAAACTCTTGTGAAAACACAAATTTACTCATGTGATCGAATTGTTTTGGTGTTTTAGATTTGGTTACCAAAGTCTTAGGATCACAAAAGCAGTGAAATATTTGAATTACACTGTATATAAATGTGTTATTCATGTCTAAAATGAAAAACATTAAATTCAAATTTTGCGTAAAACAGGTGTTTATCACTCTACTTTCACCACAGCAGGGACTGAGATACATCAGGACTGAATAAGGACTTCATATTACATACCAAGGTTCATGTGATGTGTACAAATACAAATTGAGCATTCAACCTTTTTTTTTCAACCAACAATTTATTATAAATATGTTTTTTTCAACCAACTATTTATATACATATAAGAAACTGGAAAATCTCACTATTTACAATATTGAACATCAGAACTTTCAACCAACTATTCATTATAAATGTCAAGACAGTGTCACGGTCTTTGTCTGTCTTCCAAGACAGTGGGTCTGGCTGCTGTGAAGATGGGGGTGATGGTGCATGGGCTGCTGTGTAGGTGGGGTGTACAAGTGCTATACGAGACCTCCACGAGACCTCCTTGCTGGCTGGGTTGAAGGTGATGGCTGTGGTGGAGCCTTTGTGCTGAGGTGTATCTTGACCTGGTGGCAGCCGCAGATGGAGGTGGAGGCAGCTGTAGCGATGCTGGTCTGCTGGTCCTTGGTGGTGATGGCTCTGGTGAAGGCCCTGAGCCACAGTAGATCTTGACCTGGGGGCCGGCACAGATGGATGTTGTGGCTGCTGGATAAACGCCGCCTGTGTAGGACAATAATTACAACTAATTTCATTGAAATAAAGTTCAAGTAAAATGTTGTTCAAGCACAAATAACAATACACACACACACACACACACACACACACACACACACACACACACACACACACACACACACACACCTGATTACAAAGTCTCATCTGTACAGGACGGTAAAATAATAACAGGCACACATATAAATAAATCTATTACAAAGTCTCATCTGTACAGAACAGTATGATAAAATAATCGATGGAAAAAACATGTCACTGTAAATGTCTCCGTTGTGGGACGAATACATGATTAATTTAATCATCTACACATGTAATCTCACTTTTACACACCAAAATAACGTTAACACAGAGTAAACGTTTGCTAATGGAGAGTCTATTTTGTCCCAATAAAAAGTTCATGACTATCGATAAAAAATATATATCAATAAACCTATTGTTCATTTTCGCGGTATTCCCCACACATTGCCAGTACACTATTACTGTAATATTTACACTTACCCATGTCCAAATGGATCCTTGTTGTTGTCTTTGTATTCTTCAGAAGAGTCGAAGACTTCAGGTTCTGAGGCTCTATCTTCAACCACGGTGAATTTAGTTTTAGGTTGGATATTCGACGGACATTCGCGGACCCGCCAGCAGCGTCAGTTTCCCCTGCTGCTGTGTGTATTACGACGGGGAGATCTTCTCCGCGAAACGAGGCTTTCACTTAGGGACCATCAACAAATGACTTTTCAATTACACAAGAACATTTTTCTTTTTAATAAATCGACAGCTTCCCGATCGAGTGAATGTGAAGCAAATCCACGCTAGAGCATGCATTTGTTGAACACACCTCTCTTTATTGCATTTTAATACTTTAAATATTTTATATTAATAATTTGATGGAAAAATGTGCTTATTTCTTCAATACCTTCCAGGTCATGTGACCGATTCACTCAAAATCAATGTTGGGTCAAAGAACTACACTGGCTGCATAGGACACACCTCTTGTTATTGCATTTTAATACTTTAAATATTTTATATTAATATTTTGATGGAAAAAATAGCATATTTCTTCAATACCTTCCAGGTCATGTGACCGATTTACTCAAAATCAATGTTGGGTCAAAGAACTACACTGGCTGCATAGGACACACCTCTTTTTATTGTATTTTAACACTAAATATTTTATATTAATATTTTGATGGAAAAATGAGCCTATTTCTTCAATACCTTCCAGGTCATGTGACCGATTTACTCAAAATCAATGTTGGGTCAAAGAACTACACTGGCTGCATAGGACACACCTCTTTTTATTGCATTTTAATACTTTAAATATTTTATATTAATATTTTGATGGAAAAATGTGCTTATTTCTTCAATACCTTCCAGGTCATGTGACCGATTTACTCAAAATCAATGTTGGGTCAAAGAACTACACTGGCTTCTTAGGACACACCTCTTTTTATTGCATTTTAATACTTTAAATATTTTATATTAATATTTTGATGGAAAAATGAGCCTATTTCTTCAATACCTTCCAGGTCATGTGACCGATTTACTCAAAATCAATGTTGGGTCAAAGAACTACACCGGCTGCATAGGACACACCTCTTTTTATTGCATTTTAATACTTTAAATATTTTATATTAATATTTTGATGGAAAAATGAGCTTATTTCTTCAATACCTTCCAGGTCATGTGACCGATTTACTCAAAATCAATGTTTGGTCAAAGAACTACACTGGCTGCATATGACACACCTCTTTTTATTGCATTTTAATACTATAAATATTTTATATTAATATTTTGATGGAAAAATGTGCTTATTTCTTCAATACCTTCCAGGTCATGTGACCGATTTACTCAAAATCAACGTTGGGTCAAAGAACTACACTGGCTGCATAGGACACACCTCTTTTTATTGCATTTTAATACTTTAAATATTTTATATTAATATTTTGATGGAAAAATGAGCTTATTTCTTCAATACCTTCCAGGTCATGTGACCGATTTACTCAAAATCAATGTTGGGTCAAAGAACTACACTGGCTTCTTAGGACACACCTCTTTTTATTGCATTTTAATACTTTAAATATTTTATATTAATATTTTGATGGAAAAATGAGCCTATTTCTTCAATACCTTCCAGGTCATGTGACCGATTTACTCAAAATCAATGTTGGGTCAAAGAACTACACCGGCTGCATAGGACACACCTCTTTTTATTGCATTTTAATACTTTAAATATTTTATATTAATATTTTGATGGAAAAATGAGCTTATTTCTTCAATACCTTCCAGGTCATGTGACCGATTTACTCAAAATCAATGTTTGGTCAAAGAACTACACTGGCTGCATAGGACACACCTCTTTTTATTGCATTTTAATACTATAAATATTTTATATTAATATTTTGATGGAAAAATGTGCTTATTTCTTCAATACCTTCCAGGTCATGTGACCGATTTACTCAAAATCAACGTTGGGTCAAAGAACTACACTGGCTGCATAGGACACACCTCTTTTTATTGCATTTTAATACTTTAAATATTTTATATTAATATTTTGATGGAAAAATGAGCTTATTTCTTCAATACCTTCCAGGTCATGTGACCGATTTACTCAAAATCAATGTTTGGTCAAAGAACTACACTGGCTGCATAGGACACACCTCTTTTTATTGCATTTTAATACTTTAAATATTTTATATTAATATTTTGATGGAAAAATGTGCCTATTTCTTCAATACCTTCCAGGTCATGTGACCGATTTACTCAAAATCAATGTTGGGTCAAAGAACTACACTGGCTGCATAGGACACACCTCTTTTTATTGCATTTTAATACTTTAAATATTTTTATATTAATATTTTGATGGAAAAAATAGCTTATTTCTTCAATACCTTCCAGGTCATGTGACCGATTTACTCAAAATCAATGTTTGGTCAAAGAACTACACTGGCTGCATAGGACACACCTCTTTTTATTGCATTTTAATACTTTAAATATTTTATATTAATATTTTGATGGAAAAATGAGCTTATTTCTTCAATACCTTCCAGGTCATGTGACCGATTTACTCAAAATCAATGTTGGGTCAAAGAACTACACTGGTTGCATAGGACACACCTCTTTTTATTGCATTTTAATACTTTAAATATTTTATATTAATATTTTGATAGAAAAATGTGCCTATTTCTTCAATAGCTTCCAGGTCATGTGACCTAATCACTTTTTTAGAAACCAGATCACATTGTTTGATCTAAAAATGGTGCGCTTCAAAAAAGGCAAAACAAAGAAAGCTTTAGACCTCTGGCAACAAGCAGGAGGTAGAGATTTCATCACCAGGTCTTTAATTTCTCATGGTTTTAGTGAAGTTAATGTTACAACTTGTGAAGCTTTTCCAGAAGGCGGTTAGATCACCGGACGACAGAGTCGGTCTCCGTGTGCACAGACAGGGCTGCTGTTAACGTCGGTCTGTACAATGGAATTGTGCCAAAACTACGCCAACCGGCTGCGGAGGGAGACTCCCCCCCTTCACTGGAGAACTGCGCTAAAACAGCTGATCACAACGTTCACGCTCTGTGGTCACGAAGTACTCCACTAGCCCCCCCCCCCAAATTCACAACGGGTCGGGTCGTGGGTCTTATATCAACAGGTCGGGTCCAGATTTGACTTGAAGATAATTGCATGTAACGGTCGGTTCGCGGTAGCTACTGAGCTGCGAGGGTTCGGGTGGGTGCAGATTTGCAAAACTGGACCCATGCAGGACTCTGCCCCAGAGGCTTTTAAGTTGAAGCTTAACCCTTGTGAATCCCTTTTTAAAAACGTTACTTTGAAAACACTAACGACAAAAATTTCCTCATCTAAAAATACTGTAATAAAGATATTATAGGCTATGTTAATATTTTTGTTCCACTTTCAATTACTTACATATTTTTAACCAAATTCAGTGCTGATCATAATTATCAAATGTTCATTCATTTTTATTTTTGTCGCTAGGGATTTGAAAGTCACTATTTTGATTACACATACACTTATTAAGAACATGTTTCCAAAAAAAACACATCTTTACCAAATGTCGTGCCATATTCTTAACACAATCAGAATGCTCGCAAAATTAAACAGTGGCATGGATAATACATTTCCTTAGGGAGGCATAAGGGTTAATGTGCTTATTTAATTAAATACTGCATCACAGTAGGATGTTAACAGAATTTACTGTAATTGACCCAAGGATGGCAGATTGCTTAAAGTTGCATTGCAGTCTTACGATAAGAGATACAGTAATTAAATGAGATTTTGTACTTTTGTAATGTTTGTATTTAGGAAAATATGTCAGTGAAAGAGGGAGAGATGGACAGCACAGTATCAAGAAACAGTGTTACAGCGCACCTACGGGTGAGGAAGACGAGGACACAAGTCAGGATGACAGGGAAATAAGTAACACACAGCCACAGTCTGAGATAGACACAGAAGAGTCAGACCAACAAAGTACAGAGACAGCCACCGAAATGACAACAACAATGAACGGAAAGGGACAAACAGGCAAGGACAAGAAAGGGCCAGAAAAGGATAAAAAACGAAAAAGGAACAAACGAAAAACAGGGACAGAGCCTGTGGGGAAAGATGAAGATAAGAATGATGAAGAAAAACAGTGTTACAGCGCACCTACGGGTGAGGAAGACGAGGACACAAGTCAGGATGACAGGGAAATAAGTAACGTACAGCCACAGTCTGAGATAGACACAGAAGAGTCAGACCAACAAAGTACAGAGACAGCCACCGAAATGACAACAACAATGAACAGAAAGTGCAAAGCAGGGCCAAAAAAGTTCAAAATTGCCATGACAAGAAAACAATGGAACAAAATTAAACCTAAACATGGCAAAAAAAAACTCCGTCCCCCCTGGACTGATACATTATATCAAGAATTTTATCATTATTATTATTATATTATTATTATCATTATCATTATTTTATATAAAAATAATCCATGCTGCACACTTGCTTTCAAATACCAGCATGTTAAGACAAATGATAGCCGTAAAAAGAATTCGCCATTTTTCTGTGCCTCTGCAAAATGCACATTTAATGGATGCAACGCTGTCTACAGTTTCTCAAAAAAGAACAGGCCAAAATCAACGGATAAAAAAATTATTTTTAAAGTCATGCGCATTGGTGAAGTTATACACCATAAAAATCAAAGGCGATTTAGACAAGCAAAATACACAAGAAGAGGAACAATTTCCAAAGCCTTAACCAGTGGTGTCAGTAATTATTATTACACTATGTTAAGACAGACACCAGTAGAGGAAATAATGGCTGGTAACATAAGCAGAAGCCTCACCAAAGACGTGTTAAAGAAAATATCCTCTGAAGTGAAGAAAAGTGCAAGGCTCCACGATGACATGATGCTTGAACTCATGTTGACTCAAAAAATAATCAAAGAGAGCAGCAGTCATGCATCATCAAAAGGCTATCTTCAGCACCTACAAATTGATCCGTTTGCTGTACATTTATACACAGATGCTGGAATAAAGATATTGACTGAGCACTTGAAAAAGCCAACACCTACGACTCTCTACCTTGATGCCACAGGCAGCGTGATACAGAAAATTCCTGATCAAAATAAGCGGGTCTTGTATTATGCTTTGGTTTTGCCCGGAATGGGTAAGGATAAGCCTCCCTTGCCTGTCACAGAACTGATCACCAACAGCCATTCCATTCCATCTATTTCCCATTGGCTCATGGAATTTAAAAGAAAGTTGTCTTACATAACAAAAAGAAAGATAGCACAGGTTGAGACAAATTATAGTTGGGCTCTGATAAACAGTGTGCTTCTGTCTTTTAACAGGGAAAATATGTCAGTGTACCTTGACAGAGCATTTGAGATAGTGTCTGGACAAACTGAACTGATTCCTAACTTCACTGTGCTGCATCTGTGCTCTGCTCATATCATGAAGGCTGTGTCACAAGCATTTGGGAAAAAAACTGTAGACAGAGGCACACAGGAATATGCAACATTCTGTTTTGCGTACATCCTGAACTGCACAAGTATGCAGGAAGCCCTTAATGTTTTTTAGCATATGTGTGTGCTTTTTGATGCAGAGGAGTACACTTATTCGGTGAAACAGAGCAAAATGTACCTCGACAAGTGCATTTTGCAAACTCGGGACTTGAAACTGGAGGAAAGTGGACATGTAATGGGAGAGGAGGAAAGCAAAATGGAAACAAATGCTCATAGCATTATTGGAAAGTCCCCTTTTACACAAGCTTTTCAAGTCAGGTGGGACCAAGCAGAGTGTGACATTCTCTCTGACGATGCTGTTCAGGTAAAAAACCACTACCTCTGTCCTGGTGTCATTGATGCACTGTTCAAAAACTACATGGGGATCTTCCCATTGTGGAGTGGTTTGTTGCTTGGGGATCTGTCGCGACATAGAAAAGGTACCTCAAAAAAAGATGGAAGTCATAAAACCAGGGATACCAACTGCCATGTTGAGCTCTGGTTTGGGTTGGTCAAACACTCCATCCTTTTAAAAAAAAAGTACCTGAGACCAGCTGAGTTTGTCTCCAAAATGTATGCCTCAATACAAGGAAGATACGTAGAGCACATTGAGCAACACAATCTGCCAATGCATATTCTGGACAAAAACTTTGGGCATCCTAGCAGGCCAGATGATGACCACGAGGAACAGTGGAACAAGCGGGAAAGTTCTGCTGGTCACTCCAAGTCCAAGTCCAAGTACTTCAATCCACCAAAAGCACTACCCAACCCCAAGAGCCCACCTGCCACAAAGGTGAAGAAAAGAAAAGTGGACCAACAGGAACAAGACGCACAGGGAAATGTGAGTTTCTCTAAGACTTACTATGTTCAAAGTGTGTAAATTGTTCTCCAGCATTTTAATTGTAACAATGGAATAAGTAAATATTGTCAGAAAGTAAAGCATGGACTAAATTGGTAAAGAGTGAGGTGAAGGACAAAGGACATGAAGTATTATAACCCAAGATGATTAGGTGCACGTTGTAGGGGGAGAATATGAAGATGAAAAATGTAAATACAGCTTACAAACTTAGAACAGAAACTAGATTTCCAAATCAGACTTTAAACTGCAATTACAGTTTCTGTTCCTGAGCAGCCTGTTTAATGTCATTTAATGAAAACTCTAAAAGGGACTGAGGTTAAATGCATAAACATGGACAGTTTAATTATATTTTGTGCATGTAGCTTTGATGGTGCATATACAAAAACAAGGCCTTCACCCAAAAATTCAAGATTGTTAACCCTCTGGTGTCATTCAAGTGCACTACCCTAATTAGTCATTCGGGACAAAAATGTCCAGAGTGATACCGGAGGGTTAAAAGATTCCTCAAGTGTCCATATTAAACAGACTGCATCTATTTCCCCTCAATCCTAACTTGCAGTTGACCTGGCTGTGGAAAAAAAAGGACACAGAGGTGGTCGTGGCAGTGCTCCCCTCACAGATGAAAGGACGCATCTTGCTTATCCGCCACTGTGAGCTATGCTCACTTCGACCCCACCAGTGGTTGACAGGGGAGGTACTACATGTTTCAAGTGTCTGAAGTTTCACTCTACACTGTGTTATTTTCTTTATCTAGCATTTAACGATTTCTCCCCAAAATGTCTAGATACTTTTGTCAGTCACAAGATTCTCAAAGTTGCAGGAAATGAAAGTTCAGTATAACTGGGAATATGCATTAATTGGCAAATTGTTATGATCTTTTTTGCCAGGTAATTGAAGGCGTGTTTCATGTTGCTGCCGACAAATTCGCCGTTCTGAACAAAATGTACTTGCTAAATCACTACACAGCAAGTGTCATTTTGTTCGGGGACAGAACTCAGCTAATATCTCACAGTTTACCGAAGGTAATGTGTGTGGTCTGTGTATGTTTATGTGTGTGGTGTGTTGTGTTTGTGCATGGTGATGCTGTAGGGGGAAGTAGGTGTGGATTTGATTTGTGGGCTCACACTCACACATTAGGTACATGGAGTGAAGCATTGGCTGAGGTCTTAAATAGGAAATTAGCTGAGATTATTTTACTTTATCCTCTCTGAAACTATACTCATTAGTTAAATCACCTGATAAATCTACTTACTATTGAATTCCCATACCAACACTTGTTTTAAGCACAACAAATGAATGGCACAAGAACATCATTGTCAGACTAATGTTGTTGTTATTTTTACCTTAGCCTTCAAGTTTGTTTTAATCCTTTATTTGATGCCATTATAGGTCAACTTTGACAACTATGAAGCTGTCCTGTCCTTTGTACTTGTCAACAACAACCACTGGAAGTTGCTGGTTTGTAATTATTTTGTCATTGTATTATTTCTGTTAAAGCACAAGACTTACATAGTGAAACCAAAAATATTTTTTGATGAAAAAGTGCTTTTACTTTTTTTGTTCTCTCACAGTACATTCATGCCAACACCAGCACCGTATTCCTGGTGGATCCAGCTCAAAGCATAAAAGAGCTTGATGACTCCGAACATGCTGCCAAAAGAATACAGTAAATCAAAATTCAATAGATATTTGAAAATTCAAGTAAAAACTATATTTAAACGTAAAAAATGTGTCACATTTAGTTATATTCATACTCACAAACAGCATTGAAAGCATTTTAAACAGTGTGATACAGTCTGTGTTCAGACAGTGATATCTATAGCTGACCTGTGGCTGCCTCTTATATAAATAAATGGTCATATGCTGAATACAAACAGTATGAATTTCTCTTACATTATCTTTAGGAGCCACATAATTAGAAATGTAAAGTGTGTTAACATTATCCTTTCTCAGGGAGTACTTCAGGATGAGGAGGACACGCCACAGCATAACAGACTGGGTGGATGTTAAGTGGAAGGGAGGCGTTATGGGCCACCCACTTCAAACGGATGGATGTAGCTGTGGTGTCGTTGTTGTGAAGGTGAGCTGAAGAGATTCTGTTTTCATCCAGTTAACAAGCAGAGTTTTTAATGTGAAAGACAGTTTAATGCAAGGGCGATTAAAAAAACTGTCAAAAGTAGTTGTTGACCGATAAAGGTTTTTTAAAGGCCGATGCTGATCCCCATAATATTTAGCAGGCAGGTTGGCCAATGGACAATATACAGTATATTGCCGATATCATGTTGTTGTTTATTGTATTTTTCACAACTGACAACAATTGGATTATGACACAACATTGCTGAACTTAAATTAACAGTTATTTAATACTAATGTAGTATTCACTTGAACACAGAAAGTTTAATTGACAAAACTTTGCTTCCAAATATCTCAAAATTCCAATAATAGGACCGGTCTATATCAATACTCAAAGGTTTTGGGAGGCATTCTAGTCAAGGGTGGATGTCTTCTATAATGTGTCTCATGTTTTTGTCTGTATCTGTATTACTATACAATAAAGAAGAAAAACCCTCCATAACATAAGTGTTGTTTGTTTAGATGGCAAAGGCAGTCATGGAGTCCTTCCCTCTGATCCCGAATGTGAATTTCGAGTGTTCGAAGAAATACATGAAACGGGAGAGGAGAGAACTGGCTCTCGAAATCCTTGAGGCATCAGGTAAATAAATATGAATATGTGTATATATATATATGGGTGTCTGTATGTATATATATATGTATGTATGTATATGTATGTGTATATAGAAGCTGACATACATGTATTGTTATCTTGTTTCAGTCTTTGATGAGCACACTTATTGTGCTATGTGTGCTGCCTTAAGGCCTCCAGGATCTGGATCTCCCATCACAGACTGGGTGAGCTGTTGTGAAGAAAATGTGGAATTGTCATGTATACATTTATGTATTCATTTATTTAACAGGGACAGTGCACATTAATTAACATTTCTGTAACTGTGCCAGACTTAGCCAAGAGGCTATTTTTCATCTGTAGTCCCTGGACAGATTTTAAAAGTCAACCTCAAACACATAATTAATTTTAAACAACTAAATACAATACATTTAAAACATGCAACACACATTAATGGAATACTTAAATAAAAAAAATGTAAAAGATAGAAACAATAAAAAAACAAACAAACAATAGAGCATGTTAAAACACAGGCAGTGGGTTTTAAGGAGCAGATGATTGTGTCAGCTGATTCCTCACTAACACTTAAGTATTAAGACAACTGAATGGTAATCTAAAGGTACAAATATATAAATACACTATTTCTTTCACTTCAACAGGTTCAGTGTGATGACTGTGAACGATGGTACCATGCCCAGTGCCTGGCAATGGACAGCAGAGACTTTAAAAAGGCAGAGACAGGATATTGGAATTGTCCTTTGTGCAAGTAATACTTGAAATGTGCTCAATGATGACGATTAGTAAAACATGTGTCCTGTGTAGCCTTGTTTGTATTACTTTCTGATCATTAATCACTGGGTCACATGACAGGGAAGCTCTAGAAAAAAAACCCTGAATTTTTTAATATAAATATTAATATTAAATAGAGGATGTAATATTATCCGATATAAAGAGCTGTTTCTATTGTGTACAGACTTGTATTCAATTCATAAAGTGATTTTGAGTCATTAGTTATTGAAGAAATAAGCTAATTTTTACATACAATTATTAATATAAAAATATTTGGAGTATTAAAATACAATAAAAAGAGGTGTGTCCTATGCAGCCGGTGTAGTTCTTTGACCCAACATTGATTTTGAGTGAATAGGTCACATGACCTGGAAGGTATTGAAGAAATAAGCACATTTTTCCATCAAAATATTAATATAAAATATTTAAAGTATTAAAATGCAATAAAAAGAGGTGTGTCCTATGCAACCAGTGTAGTTATTTGACCAAACATTGATTTTGAGTAAATCGGTCACATGACCTGGAAGGTATTGAAGAAATAAGCTAATTTTTCCATCAAAATATTAATATAAAATATTTAAAGTATTAAAATGCAATAAAAAGAGGTGTGTCCTATGCAGCCAGTGTAGTTTTTTGACCCAACATTGATTTTGAGTAAATCGGTCACATGACCTGGAAGGTATTGAAGAAATAAGCTCATTTTTCCATCAAAATATTAATATAAAATATTTAAAGTATTAAAATGCAATAAAAAGAGGTGTGTCCTATGCAGCCAGTGTAGTTCTTTGACCCAACATTGATTTTGAGTGATTAGGTCACATGACCTGGAAGGTATTGAAGAAATAAGCTCATTTTTCCATCAAAATATTAATATAAAATATTTAAAGTATTAAAATGCAATAAAAAGAGGTGTGTCCTATGCAGCCGGTGTAGTTCTTTGACCCAACATTGATTTTGAGTAAATCGGTCACATGACCTGGAAGGTATTGAAGAAATAAGCAACTTTTTCCATCAAAATATTAATATAAAAATATTTAAAGTATTAAAATGCAATAAAAAGAGGTGTGTCCTATGCAGCCGGTGTAGTCCTTTGACCCAACATTGATTTTGAGTGAGTAGGTCACATGACCTGGAAGGTATTGAAGAAATAAGCACATTTTTCCATCAAAAATATTAATATAAAAATATTTAAAGTATTAAAATGCAATAAAAAGAGGTGTGTCCCATTCAACCAGTGTAGTTCTTTGACCCAACATTGATTTTGAGTAAATCGGTCACATGACCTGGAAGGTATTGAAGAAATAAGCTCATTTTTCCATCAAAATATTAATATAACATATTTAAAGTATTAAAATGCAATAAAAAGAGGTGTGTCCTATGCAGCCAGTGTAGTTCTTTGACCCAACATTGATTTTGAGTAAATCGGTCACATGACCTGGAAGGTATTGAAGAAATAAGCTCATTTTTCCATCAAAATATTAATATAAAATATTTAAAGTATTAAAATGCAATAAAAAGAGGTGTGTCCTATGCAACCAGTGTAGTTCTTTGACCAAACATTGATTTTGAGTAAATCGGTCACATGACCTGGAAGGTATTGAAGAAATAAGCTCATTTTTCCATCAAAATATTAATATAAAATATTTAAAGTATTAAAATGCAATAAAAAGAGGTGTGTCCTATGCAGCCAGTGTAGTTCTTTGACCCAACGTTGATTTTGAGTAAATCGGTCACATGACCTGGAAGGTATTGAAGAAATAAGCTAATTTTTCCATCAAAATATTAATATAAAATATTTAAAGTATTAAAATGCAATAAAAAGAGGTGTGTCCTATGCAGCCAGTGTAGTTCTTTGACCCAACATTGATTTTGAGTGAATCGGTCACATGACCTGGAAGGTATTGAAGAAATAAGCACATTTATCCATCAAAATATGAATATAAAATATTTAAAGTATTAAAATGCAATAAAAAGAGGTGTGTCCTATGCAGCCGGTGTAGTCCTTTGACCCAACATTGATTTTGAGTGATTAGGTCACATGACCTGGAAGGTATTGAAGAAATAAGCTAATTTTTCCATCAAAATATTAATATAAAATATTTAAAGTATTAAAATGCAATAAAAAGAGGTGTGTCCTATGCAGCCAGTGTAGTTCTTTGACCCGACATTGATTTTGAGTAAATCGGTCATATGACCTGGAAGGTATTGAAGAAATAAGCTAATTTTTCCATCAAAATATTAATAAAACGTATTTAAAGTATTAAAATGCAATAAAAAGAGGTGTATTCAATAAATGTATGCTCTAGAGTCAATTTGCTTCACATTCACACGATCGAGAAGCTGTCGATTTATTAAAAAGAACAGTTTTCTTGTCTAATTGTAAAAGTCATTTGTTGATGGTCCCTAAGTGAAAGCCTCGTTTCGCGGAGAAGATCTCCCCGTTAAACTGACCCTGCTGGCGGGTCCGGGAAACTGACGCTGCTGGCTGGTCCGCGAATGTCCGTCGAATATCCAACCTAAAACTAAATTCACCGCGGTCTATCACCACTGCTGCTAGCGAAAAAAATCTCTAGCGAAGTCGGCAACTGTAAAGTTTTTTTTAGTCTCTCTCTCTCTCTCTCTCTCTCTCTCTCCGCGCCTTGGGATCCCCCAGTCAGAGCTGGTTGATGTCGCCAGGGAAAATAAAGTTTGGGGCTCTCTGCTGGAACTGCTACCCCCGCGACCCGACCACGGATAAGCGGGAGAAGATGGATGGATGGATGGACACACAAATCCACCAATCCCACACAGTGTAAAGTCAAGCTGCTTTGAGCGGCCATATTGGCTGCTGTGCCCTGGTTACAGTCTCACAGGAGATACCGCTGGAAAGCTACTCATTCTAATTCATACTAGATACAACCATGGAGGATTAAAATATAACTCATGCATTTCAGCGTGTCACATTAACTATCGTGGGCCGCCAGAAACATGTCCGAGGTCCGCCATTGGCCCGCGGGCCGCACTTTGAGAACCCCTGATCTACAGTATGTCACCGGAAAACATTGAATAGTCAAATGTCACTTAAATTATTTTTGTATGTTGAAGATTCATTTCACTTTTGAAATGACCAACATATCTGGAGAATCAAATGACAAAGAAAATTGCTGTATATCAAAAAGTATATAAAGTTTGCCTTTACTCTTACGATACCTTTTTCTTTTATTTCTACATATTATTTATTGTATATAAATTAAATGTGCATTGTTGGAGGGAGCCCAAGATTCAAGATATTAATGTTGTATATTGTTGTGCATATGATAAACTTGAAAATAACTGATAGAGGGCGAAAAGCTAAATGATGACGCACGATGGATTCTTTGAGAAAGGTGCAGCACCTTGTATCTGCTCCTGTAGGTGAGGTCCAGCTCCGTCTCCTCGGGGCTGAAGTAGACCCCCGGCCTCTTGGTCATCATCTTCAGGTAAATGGCTTCGTCCGGCTGCACCCGCACCACCAGCTCGTTCCTCTGACAGTGCTCGGCAAAGATGTCTCCCGGCACGTCAGTGAACTGCAGACGCACCTCTGCCTTCCTTTCGTTCAGAGCTTTACCGCAGCGCAGGATGAAAGGAACGCCTGGTGGGGGGAGAGTTGATGAGAGGACGCCAAAGAAACTGAGAAAATCTGGGAGAGGTGAAGACTAAGACAAGTGATGAAAAAGATAATAAATGTTTTCACTTACCATCCCATCTTTCATTCTGGACATAAAGCACCGCTGTGGCAAAAGTTGGTGTGCAGGACCCTGCTGGTACAGTGGGATCGTCAAGGTAACCCAGTTTGGACTGACCCTCCCCCTCAGGGTCGCCCACATACTGGCCGAGCACCACATCTGATCCAGTAACAGGAGCTATACACTTCAACACCTTCACCTACAGTTCATCAATGGATAAAGTGTTGGATCGTCAACGATGCTCTCATGGAATTTAGACAGAAAATGTTAAATCTTTCTGTTCAATCACAGTCATTACCTTCTCATCCCTCACGTCGTCTGGGCTGGTGGAAGCAGGTTTCTCCATGGCGACCAGACAGAGAATCTGCAGGAGATGGTTCTGCATGACATCTCTACACAAGGAACAAGAAGTAGAATCAGCACAAGTAAAGGCTCTAGTGTAAAAATAACATTGTATTAATTGTTTTGACTTTTATTAAAATGTAATGGTCCTCACCTAATGATACCAAAGTCATCAAAGTATCCTCC